GCGTTACGCGGACAAGGATGTCTGCGGGTGCCCCCCTGTCGCTTTCGAGACTCTCGCGTTTAATTGCTTTAATCTGGACGACGGCAATGGCGACGACGAAGATGACGATGACGACGATGACGACGATGACGACGATGACGACGATGAGACTGCAGATCTCCCTTAAGATCCGCTTGCGCGCGCAGCAGACACGATAGCCTGAAATATTTGAGATTCCTCTATGCTCTCTCCTTTAACGTACGCGGCAGATCGTAAAATCCGCGGCCACCTCCGGCGCGGTGCAAGGATACTCGTCACAAGTAAATGTCGATGATGCATGTAATCGCAATGATTTCGATATAAAGCTATATAAAGCTATATAAAGCTAACGCGACCGCTTGTACAGCATGTAATTAACGCGCATTTTTCGGTACAACTCGTCGAATGTCTTTTAACTCCACCTTTCATGCTCGATACTACCTATTTATGCAATCATATCAGGTTAGATAATGCACGAAACAAAGTAAATCGATTAATAATCATGTTATATCATTTTATCTATACAGGGAAGAATTTTTCGTTAAAAATGATTCAACATATGATTATATCAATCAGATTTCTGATCATCACACACCGTTGAATCTGTGTTGTCAAATTTAGCTTAATTTAAGTCGTCACTGCTCTTACTCGTTATTTTATACTGAAACAATGAAATTGAGGAGGTTCTCGCGTTACTTCCTAGTCAATAGACAATTTATTCATAATAATATTGTAAAACAATTAAAATAATGGAATAAAAAGTTATTACTAACAATATCTTATGCCATTATATGATTATGGTTCATTTTATATGTTACTAAATATTTTCAAAATAAAAGTTGTAAGATATACATGCATCGACCATTTGACATATATTCTAGCTTTTTTCATTGAACAATATAAATTTCTTGCAAACTATACGGTCAGTTTAAATGAAACTTTATGAGAACAAACTTAAGTATTTACTTTATAATTATAACGATTTTTAAATTATTGTCTTATACGCAAGTGTCTCAATTTAAAAAAGAATACCTAGAGAATAAGGTTATACCTTCCACTTGTAAGGTAAAATTTATAAATTTATAATTAAATTCATCAAAATAGTACGGTAAAAAGTCAATGCAATTTTTTCTAGATATTATTGATATTATTAACTTTTTTATTACATGTATATTATAGACTTGTCTTATATTTCATCAAACGCGAGAATCTCCTTAAACAATTTAAAACAATTCAAATTGTTGATTAAATTCGACGCTATAAATTTAGCAGTGCAATTAGACACTTAGTACAATTTTGATGACCTTATCTTAACTGGAACTCTGATAAATTTAATCAGAATCCCAATTAATGCAACCAGATTCTCTTTCCAATGCAATCCTGAAGTAGCGCACGTTATACGATCTGATTTCATAAGGGGGCGCGTATATGCGGGAGACATTCGAGAACACACCCCCAAGAAAACGCGCCCCCATGCGCATAGTCATTCAGATCAAGAACCAAACACAGCGGCCGGCGAATGACGGCGAGTGCACGCAGCGCCGCTGACAAATGAGTTTGGCCAAGTGCAAGTGAAATGCAGCCGCAAAAAGCCGATGTGGTCCTGCGGTCGTCGGAATGGAATATAGGTAGTCGGTCGGTCCATGTTTCTCTCTTTCTCTATCTATCCCCCCCCCCTCTCTCTCTCTCTCTCTCTCTCTCTCTCTCTCTCTCTTTCTTCTCCTACATCTCGCTGGCTACTGGCCTGCGATTCCCCATTAACAAACGGGTCCCACTGCACGATCCTCACCATCGTGCATTATCCACGGTTATGGTTTTTCGGTCGTGGTTGCCTTGCCTCTTGCCGGAGAGAGCCGCGGTGAGATGCATTCTCGCGAGATGCAGACGGAGATGCAAGTGGTGGAAGTGTATGTGCGTGCATGCATGTGTCTGTTGCGTAAAACGGAGAGACGGGGGACGAGATGGGGAAGCCGGTGGGATTCGCGAGAAGGCTTGGGCGAGGCGTTATTGTCGTGGGATTGCAACGATCGCAGCGAGAAGTCAAGGCGCATACAGCCTTCCGCGGAAGTATAAACGCCCTGCAGGCATATTGTTGCAATTATTACGCTTCGTCATTAAAGGAACCGCGTAAAAATGTTCGATCCGGAAGAAATAAGATTAATCGAGGAGGGGGAGGAGAGGAGGGGGGAGGGGGGAATGACGTCTAATTGAGTCTTTTCGTGATATCGAATCCAGATCGACGAAAGGCAGCGCGGATGAGAGGTGCGACGATGGGTTCAACGGCGCGGTTTGCACGATCACGTCACGCTACCGACGTGAAGGCAATCGTTTCACAATTATTGCAATAATTTGCGCGGACCTTTTCTCGAGCGAAACAACCTGAACGGGGCCCCCGTGTAACCGCCCTGCGCGCGCGAGAGCGCCTTAATTTACATCGCCGACTTAAAATTACCATGATTAGGCGGCGCAGTGAGCGGCTCCGCTGAATGCAACGTACATCCCGTTCGCCGTTCGCGATCGGCGGCCGCGACCGTATGATAAATAACGCAGGGCCCATACGTTACACACCGTGATACAAACGAAACACATGCGCGAATCGTGAGGCAGAGAGAAGCGCGACGTGGGGCACGATAGGGGGTGGAGGAAGAGGCACCGACGGCAGAAGAGGGAAGAAGAACGGCGGAGGAAGAGAACTCGATGTGAGTAACGAATATCTGATAGCAAATCCCTGGCATTTCCAACGTATATCCCTTGGCTCTCCGCGGAACGAATGCGGGAACCCCTCTCGACACTGTGTGGCCCCCTGCGCGCTCGAGAGAACCGATGCGATGCCACGGTTCCTTTACCCACGCATTCTACCGTGATGGTACGCAGAAACGAGAGACAGCTCTCAGAGAAGAGAGAGAGGGGGAGGGAATGCAGAAAGAATACTTTTACTTTCAATCGACGATCCCCTTCCTTTTTCTCTTTCGAATTTCATATCATGTCCGAGGAGGCCCTTGTCTCGGGCGAAACTTCAGGAAGAATAAGCGCGTGCACTGGCAAATTAAGCTTTTATTCCGTGACATTCCTCTTAACCTTCTCCTCTTAAATTTGCATGCTAAGACCATTATGTCGTCTCACGCGAAAAAATGTTACGCCAAATAAATAAAGATTTTACTTCTGTTAATTCGACACGCTCGTGACGCAAATTACGCGATTTCTTCCTCTTACTCGATTAAATAGAAAAAAAATTAAATTTTATAATAATAATAATAATAATTGTATTGAGAGATGTAAAGAAATACAGATTAATAATGAAGACGTGCATGAGAATAAATGTAGCGTTAAAATCTCAAAAGATCAGCGATATTGCTGCTCGTAAGTCCAATTTTAAATAACACATGATGTATAAATAAATATAATATAAACATAAAAAAGATAAAACAAGAAATTGAGAAACAAGTAAAAGCACGATGTAAAAAACAGATAAATATAAGATGGACAGGAAATTGAGTAGTAAATATAAGTAATAACTAGCAATATTTCAGTATGGGGACTAATTGTGTTCTATAGTAAGAGCCGTTATAAAAAGCAGTCAAGAGAAAAGATAATTCGTTTCGTCGGCGATCATAATTTCGTTGAATAGCTGCTTATGAGAATTGTAATTCATATCCAAAGTCAGCATTTTTAATTTCCTTGCGTCCACTCCTCACAACAATTCGCGGGTGACATTTCACTTTTACTCATATACGAAGGCTGTATTTTTTTTATACCGCTATTACATTATGTCGCAACGTACTGCAATTAAATCTCCGAAAATCGTTGATGTGAAAAAATGTGACGGCATTATCGCCCACTCGCGTTATTTGCAATTGTTACAATCAAACGCTCGTCGCGATATTTATCTGTTCCAATTAAGGATTCGGCTGGCACGCATATATCATCACGATGCACCGAAGAAGGTGAAAGGCATCAGAGAACCGCGGGACTGACCTTGCCCGAATAACGTCACGGGCAATTCTGCAACGGCGACGATTATCTTAATTTTCGAATCTCGTTAGCGAAATTTAATACAAACATAGCTACGCGACGACGACGCGCGCGACGATGTCCTTCAAATTTATACGTACGCATTACGCATTAAGAACCGAAATTATTCCTGTTATAATGTGGTTGGCCTTGCTACGAGAGAATTGCGCTGGACTTGCTCGCTGGCACAGTATCCGTACTCAGTTGCAGGCTTATTTACCTTGGGGGGAAAATATCGTCGTGAAAGTGCCTTATATTGTAAGCGGACACTTCAATTATAAACTCAAATCGAAGAATTAATCACGTCGTCATAGCAATTTAAAATATACATGTAAAGTGGATGTAAAAGTAACAAGGCGATTTGATCATAAAATTTTAAGAGAGATTATCTGAAATTTTTTCAAGGGAAAAACAAAAATGCAACGTAAAGCTTCCAATAAACCTACTGATTATTTTCGAGAAATATCTGTACAACTTATTTATAATGTATAAATAAAGTGGAACAATAATTATTGAATAACTAAATCAGCGACAATGTGCGTATAGCGATACGATGTCGAGCTCACTGTGCCACTTGTCTGTGTAAATGTTAGAAGAAATTGCAAAAGTTTTGCAATTATCCGATTGTGGTTTGAAAATATCAGACCTATTGGTCTCAAGAGAAAGAGAGAGAAAGAGAAGCATATGCATGAACTTACGCCAACGGAGCAAACACCAAACAGAATCTCTTGCTGGTAAACATCAATATTTTCCTCGAACAGCACGTGCCACCAACACGCATTCCATCGGTTACAGATGGTGAACGACGCGATTGCGACGGTGACGCTTCCATTCGAGCGCACTACATGAGGCGGACGCCGCGAGAGGTGGGAAAGAAAGAGTCATGTGAGAGAAGCGTCCGAAGTGGCTTTTGGTTCACCGAGGTGGAGAGACGCGCGTACACGCTCACGCCAGCGCCGTCATTCACGCGCGGCACGCACGCACGCACGCGTCGCGCTCGTACGAGGTGAAACCGGCGTGAACGGTACGCGTTCTCCATATTCATGCTCACCGACACCGATGCATATCCTCCGGATCTTCAATTACGATTGCCAATGCTTCGTACGAAATCATTGCATGCTTTAAGCCGTCGAGGCAAATCGATCAACACGTACGCTCGCGTTATTGCAGCGCGTCACACGCAGTGCACGGTGTACCGATTCCATCCCACGCACGGTTGGTAGAATACAAGAATGGATGCAAGAAAAGTGTTGCAAACACGTGTTAGTGTTAACGATATGCTATTCCTAAAAAGCAGGCCATAGTTGTAAACAAAAAAGTTACAAAACTCAATATCTTTTTTAGTTTATAAATTATTGGCAAATGTCTATAAATTACTAAAGCGACTCCTATATGAAGAAAAATATCATTTTATTGTAAGAAAAATAATTACTCAATCTAATGGCTTAGGACGCTCGTATAAAATACAAGAGATCCGGGTTGGATTCAAGTCCCAGCCGAGGTAATATTTTTCGTAATAAATTCATTAACAGTTTTCAACATATTAACATCTTTATAATATGATGCTTGATTGTAATATGAAATTATTAAAAATTGCTCGTCAATTTAATTCGCAAGTACTAGAGTAGTAGTTTTAATTGCGTTTATAGTCCAGAAAAACAATTCGGCACGCAATTCGAAAAAGATTACTTTAGATAGATTATTTTAATATGGTATGCAAGTACATATATAATATAAATTAGTAATTCAAGATTGAATTATTTAAAGCAATTCAAAGATTCAGCTTCGACCGTAATAGTCATTTTAAATTTCTAGTATTGATTATGTTTCTCACATATGCAATCTAAAATAAAATAACTCAATTAAATAATTAAATCAATAAAATAAAAATACTCAATTTACTTTCTTTTTTTTTAAGTAACAGCCATCTTTAACAAATGAATATTTTTTGATAATTTTAAAATATGCTTATTACAAGTTCTTTTGGAAATTATTATAAAAATTGATCAAAGAAGCGATTTTATATAATAAACAAATCGAATTTGTTTTAATTTAATAATCTTGATTAAAGTATTAAATTTATTAGGATATATTTTAAATAAATTTAATAAATTTATGATAGATTTACAGATATATAAACTTTTGAAATACTTAAAATAATTAATAATTATTAGTTGCGTACACTGAGAGAAAAATGTACTAAATTTTAATAAATATTTATTCGAATAGTGTAAATTAAATATATTTACTAAATATAAACATATATTTATTTGGTACAAGAATTATTAATTTAATTCATTATTATATTTTACTTAACAAAATATTTATTTTCCGTAAATAAATGTTGTATTAGTACTATTCAAACAATTATTTATTATAATGTAATAATTTTTCTCTCAGTGTACTGTATATATTTTTCTGCGTGTAGGTGATCAATATTATTGCATAATATTATTGATTTATTGATCATCTGGAGATTATATTAACCCAAACTGTTTCGAATTTAAAATAGACATTGATAATATTACACAAAATAATAAATTGTACAATAATATTGAACGTCTAGAAGTATCACAGATATTACGGTAATTCTAGATGAGAAAAATGGAGTGCACAGAGAAAGAAATCGATATCGATATACGTATAGTCGTGAGAATCGTAAACATTTAATATGAGCGACACAGGGAATTGTATTGCGTAATGACAGTAAGCTGCATCTCGTTTCGAAGGGCTGATCTTTTTCTCACGGCATGCCCTTGTAATTAATCTGATGTCGCTTACAATTACTAAGAGAATACATAAAATAGCGTTAATCCGACGATCTACTACTGGTGACTCGTTTCGATATAGAAATCATTTCGATAACGAGGGTCAAGCTATTCTCGGCTACACAATGACCACGCATTGTTGGCCAACAATAATAACGAGCGTGTGACGTAAGATGCAGTTGGCTACGCGTGTAATCGAGAGAACTGGTGATCCAAAAATTCTTCTGCATAGTTATACCTAGCTCAACCAACCAGGACAAAGCAAGTGTGAAGTCCGAATTTTTTTTTCTGACCCAGATTAACTGATTCGTCACGGACATTCGATATTGAAGTATCAAACGTTCTTCAGCTACTTCTTCAACATTGTTATCTTTCGCATACTTTACACATTTAGTTTTTCGATAAAAGTAAAACATAAATGTTTATATTTAATAAAAATAAAATATTAAATTATATATCTAAAATGTATAAAATTAATAAATGTGATAAAAAATTATTGCTCGACAGCCTGATTTTCATCCTCTAACGGCATTGTAAATTCCATCTTGTCAAAGATTATCAGACGTGAAATATCACGCGAGACAGGTATGCACTGTAGCAGATACATCGACACACGTATAACGTCAGCCACCCGAGAACATCCTGCGGACAAAGTACGTCACGAGGCGTACGAGACTAGACGACAGGTGGTCGTGCTTCTCTTCTCTCAAAAGTCAAGAAGTTCGACGAAGATCGTGAGCGATCTTCCACGTAACTTCGGCCCGAACGCGCCACGATGAAAGAAGATAAAGGGCTTGAAGACCGTGGCCGATGATCGGATTGCGGTAGCCAACGGAAGTATGGTAGCGAAGTAAATGGCAGGGCGGTATTTAAAATGCAATTGTGCGTGTCCGATTCAATAGTCCAAAATCTCAAATATTTAAAAATGCGGTAAATGTATCCCATCATTCTCTGTATATGTGCAAAAAAAAATTAAAAAAAGAATTTAAATAACTATCAAATGTTGAGTAAAATAATTTCAATATTCGGTTAATTTTACCAAAAATAATTTTATTTTTCTAAATATAAAATAATATCAAAATATATTTTTATAATCAATATAATAATTTATATATAAAAATATATCAAATTATATTTTTCTAAATATATTAGGTGTTGGAATTAATTCGTAGCGTTTTTTAATGAAAGAATGTTATTTATTTCACATGAGCATTAAAAAATACATTAATGAAAGTACTTCCCCATCACTTGTAAAACGCTACGAATTAATTCCAACACCTAATAATATAATATAATATAATCAACTGTTTGATAATAACTATTAAATATTTAAAAAGGTAAAATTATATATTCTTAATTATGTCAATCAAGCACATTCTATTAAAACTATTTTATTCTACATTTATAATAATAAATATTACTTATTAGACTCTTTTTTCAGTGAATATTCATTACATTTAAGAATAAATTAAATTCTATTATCTCGTTTTTTATCAAAGTTAATTTTTTATGATAGTTAATCTTTAGAGAGAGAGAGAGAGAGAGAGAGAGAGAGGGGGGGGGCGGGAGTTTATTTTTAAAATCTAATAGCTTAAATAAAATTTATCATAATTCATTATTTCATTATATTCTCTACCTCAAAATATGATACTTTTAGCGTCATTACGGTGATTTTCCCGTTGTGTTCCTAGATGTATTTGCTCTCACGATTCTAAAGAAAGAATAATACGAAGGGTTGATACACTCAATGATAATACTTGTGCGATGAAGGCGTACTTTAAGTCATACTTTATCAGTAATTGCTTCAAGCAGCATATTGCAAATACACGGCACAATGTTCTGACTCTTGCATAAACCTCGTCGACACGGGCGATATAATATCTAGAAACTTCCTGGTTCTATGCATTCCATAGTCACATTCGCTTTGGGAGAGTCATATGTGAAGTCAGATGTTAGATAATATTTTCATTTCCAACTTCTTGAATGGTTTTTCCCAAGGAAATCGTAACGATTACCGGACGTTAGAAAACGAAACGACATGAAGGTATGCACGCGACACGTAGAGCTACGAATCAACTTCTAACGAGGCGAAGATGCACGCCAGTATTACAATTCGCCTACGTGTGTACAGAGTGTATCAAAATTATAGCGGCATTTCTTCTCAGCTTTAAAAACATATAATTCTATTTATACAAAAGCTGTTTAATAAAAAAAAGAAGTACATTTCATGTGCAATTAATTGATAGATTATAATTTTGTTTATCCATTCTCATATCTAAAATTAAATTTGCTATATTTTTTTTTAATGCTTACTCATCCGTGAAAAATTATAGATTGACATTGGTCAGTTCGGATATGTAATATGCACTCGGAAAGAGCACATGACTTCTGAGACACTCTGTATATTGAACCGATTCCCGGGAAGGCATTTAAGCCAACCACCTGCTGTTAGTCTGATGCTGCCAGACTATCTCTCTCTCTCTCTCTCTCTCTCTCTCTCTCTCTCTCTCTCTCGAACCTTCTTCTCGCTATCTTTCTCTCTTTCTCGAACCTTCTTCTCACTATCTTTCTGTTTCCTTTTCTCCCCTACCCTGCGCCAGTTGTCCACCGCATCACCAGCAGCCGCTCCCCCGCGTCTTCCTCTCTAGCTTGTATTCAGACGTATTACGGCATCGTGCCGATTCTCATCCGGCGGATGAACCAGAGCTAGTTATGCAAGTCGAAAAGGTACAGGGACGTAGCCAAGGTTATCGTGCAACGATAATGACGGCGATTCTGTGACCTCTCCCTTGACCGAAGGTATCGCGAGGTACGTCCACTCAAACCGCGAACTAGACTTCTCCCCCCCCCCCCTGCTATCTCTTAGCTGTGTTTGGGATAAACCTTTGGGATAGACCCTTCACGAATAAAGAAGCAAATCGAGAATAGAAAATTACTTGCACAATTTCTATTATCTTTTCTAAAGAGGCGAGAAAATTGTAACTGATTGCTTGACTCGCGTCTCTATCAATATCATGCTGATCATGCAGACTTGAGTGTAGGAACTTTGAACGATTTGAAAAGAGATGATATTTTTCTCAGCGTTCAGTACTCGGCAATGAGACGAGAAATTACAAATGCATTAAACATGAAAATATCGATTAGTGCGCAACGGTAGATAAAAAAGATGCCGAGTGTGATAACGGAGCAGCGCGTGCAACTCATAATCTAACGATAAACGTCGCATTCCAGACATTCGTGCAACGCACACACGCGACATAAAATCGGTCGACGTAATAACGATTTCCGAGCTATCCGGTTCATCCGCTTTATCAATCTACTTAATTACGATCAGGTGGTAGATCGCTTCCAGAGAATTCTCTAAATTTCTGATCGTCGATAAGAACATAGCTGATGAAGACATATAAATAGATAGATAGACTTGCCGCAAAAGAGAAGAGCAAAAAGAGAGAGCTTACTCGGGGAAGCGGACGTTTAGAGATGTTCCTCCGAGTTCGAGATCGCGAGCATGTAGAGATCGAGTGGATTGACCTGGTCGATGAGTGTCGGGAGGACATCCCTCTTCTACGACCGAACAGCAAGACCGAGAAGAGAAGCGGTGAACGGAAGCCTCACTTGAAGCTGAACCCTGCGGTGCTCGGGGAACGCGGAAATGCACGGGAACGAGTGCGCTGAACAACGGTAGATAGACGCTGGCTTGATTGGACGTCGGCTTAATTAAAAGTTTTACTCGCCCCTCGTTTTCTCACTGCGTCATCGTCGCTGCCGGCGTCATCGTTGTGTCATGTCACGAGTAAAAGGCTCACCGAAATTAAAATTCAAGGGTTCTACGTATTTAGGCGTGTATATTCACGTGCCACACTTAGACACACTCCTGGTCTGTTAATCTTAATGACAGCGTCGATGTTATTATACATGGTAAAAAAAAGCTGCGCAACGACAATATAATGACACCAACACTGTCGTGTTGAGAGACAAAATAGGAATCTTAGTCTTAAACGCCAATCTAAATATCAATTCGACGGTATGTTGATTTGTTTGCGCGCCACGTTCTCATCTTTACATCGGTGTCGCGTTGAAGAAAATCCACAACCTGCAGCGAGAACAATAATCCTCGAGACCATTCATCGATGTTAGTCGAACTTGAGATGAATAGAATAATGATGACATTTCATTCTAAGCTACGTTCATATCAATGGTGCTTGTTGCGTAACGTAAATCATACGTTTATTCATCGAGAGACAGCACACAAAAGGGTAATCGATCGTGCTCGTGATACGATGTTTTGCGATATCTTAATTATACGATAAGCAATATCGCAAGAAACCAACTCGTCTATAATTGAATCGCCGAAGATTGCAGCGGTTGCATTGACACGCGGCTTAATGATATCATCATGTTACTAACGTTGCATATATTACTATCGAAATATCACATCGAGGTCGCTGAGGTCAACAATTTGTTTGAGAAATGGCTTGACTAATTGGAACGTTGCGCGGTAATATAAATAGTTATCTGTCCTCATTCTAACAATAGTTTCGATACAAATCAAACGACTGAGAAAGTTCCTTCACTATTTGTATTTTTCAAAATGGTTTTTACTTATTGAAGATACAAATCGTATATTAATCTATTCACTTGTTACATAACAGTCTTTCTCACATTATTATTAAATTTGCGACATCAATACGCAAACAGAATATGATTAATAGTTTTTAGATCGAAATTGCAGACACAGATTTATCAGTCTAATAAACAAACCTTTCGTAAAGATAGGAATATAACGAATGTCTTTCGTAAAAACAATGAAATTTGCAAGATAATTTATCATATCTACAGAAAAGTATATATTTGAATTTAATATATTGCATTATACCGTCTACAAATATTTTCCTAATCTGCGTTAGGAAGATGTTTTGATTCTCTAAAAAAATCTTCCAAATAAAAAAGAACGATTTTAAACTATTTCGAAAAAAATTGATTTTTCTGAATAAAAGGGGCTATTTTAAATTGATTTTTTCGTTTACAAAAAAGAGATTTTGAATCGATTTCTTTTGAAAAAAAAAGATCTTTTTAGAAAATCGGTGCAGAGTCGAATCATTAACCTCCATGATATTAATGCACCTGACGCATCTCGCATAACCTGCCACAATTACCATTCTGCGCGGACAGCCCATTGATTGAACATGGATTTAATTAAAAGTCGATCCTGCGAATATCCACGTTATTGCTACATCATCGACGACACAATGCTACAGTACGCAGTGATAGCGTTAAAAGATATCTTGCAGCGCCTCTATCGCCGCCTAATGATATATACTGCGTAGCACGAGCCTTAAAGGCTCGTAAATTAGGACGCGACGAGTTTTCA